AATATTGGAAAACTAGGAATCGAGTTAGCCGGAAAACACCCGTTCTAGGGGCTGTTTTCGTATCAACGATTAAGGGTTGAAATAGCAACTTGAGGAAGCTATTTAACACCCATTTTCAAGCAAGGAACCAGTTCTCAATCTTCCTTGGCCGAGGCTTTGGTCATTGGATCGAGAAGGAAGGTTTTAAAGCTCATTTGAGGTGAGGACCGACATCTAGTTGCTTACAACTTGTAGGTTATGCATAAGATTACCTAAATGCTTAAATCATGTTTTTTGTGAATAAATATGCTTGAACATGATATGAATGATAAGTAATGGACTTGATCATAAATTGAAACCATATTGATGAATATGGAGTCATGTGAGATGGAGGTATGCTAATATGGTAAATTGACCTCTTCCAACTAATGTATGAATGTGATGTGTATGTAAATGTATAATTGCATGATGATGCTTGACACATGGGAGGCTGCCACATATCTACTGATATGAAGGAGCTACCATTAATGATAAATGAGTTGTAGGAATAATCTTAATAGTATTGTGATGCTAGTTAAGGATTGTCCTTAATGTGTTAGAATCAAACTTAAGGTTTGAGTTTGTTTGTGATGAACTTGAATGAGATTCAAGTGTCAATTGTGAAATCATGAAGTAGGAGATCTATGGTGTGATTTATGAAGTAGGAGATCTATGGTGTGGTTACATGAAGTAGGAGATCTATGGTGTGGTTACATGAAGTAGGAGATCTATGGTGTGATTACATGAAGTAAGAGATCTATGATGCGAGTGCATGATGATGTACTCGAGCTGAACTCTAGAAATGAGAAGTTATATTCGGGTTAGACCCTATGTATGTCGTGATTATTAGTCACGGGGTTTGGGAAATGTTTTGTAACAAACATGGGCCTTGAGCCGACTACTTGACTTTATATAAAGTAAGTATATATTTTGAAAGGGGTAATTTGAGATTACGGCCTATACTATATTATCACCCTATTTGAGGGTCTTGTGTGTGAAATACTTGTTGTATATCTATTAGATGCCTGCCACACCAGCACTTTATAGCCCTATAGAGTGCTGACCCCTTCGGGGGCGTCCCACCACCATTTTTCAGGTTGAGGCTAGAGCTTGCTTCCTGTGCTCGTTGCTCGAGAGATCATATAGGAGGGAAGACTTGGTTCGTGCTTCCTCCATTCTGTTTTTAAACATTAATAAACATGCTCATGAATATTTTATTATAGAGCCTGCGTGCTCATGTTTGCCACGTGTGGCATTTGTTTTCAAACTATGTTTTCCGCTACGTAATCGATTGCTTATTATGTTGTTTATGGATGGCTTACGTGTGAATGATATTCGGGACGCCTTGTGTAATATGAATGTGTTGGACTGCGGTTGACCATTCGTATTGTACGGCGGGTTGTTGACGTGGCCGGGGAGGTCCGGGGCGTGACAAAAGCAGTGTCTGTGCACAGACATTTAGCTGTCTGTATACAGACAATTTTTAATTTTTTTTTGTTCTTAATAATTTTTCCGAACACACAGACACTGAAAAAACCAATGTCTGTATACATAGAAAAAACTCGGAGAATATTCACTCTAATTTTTTGATGACTTTCTGACGAGTCTCAAACTTCTTCTTTTCCTATCCTAGAAGCTAATAATGATAAAGATGATGAAGTGATGGATTTGGAAGAAGGTGAAGATGGGAGGTGATGAATATATATGGTGAGGTAGATAGAAGTGGAAGATTATGAGATGGTGTTAGTGATAAAAAGATGTACAAGATGATGAAGTGGGGAGATGATGAAGATGAAGATGGAATAAAAGAAAAGAAAAGAGTGAGTTGGTTGGGGCCTTGGGGGAGAACTGTATGGAAGAAAGAGAGACTTTGTGAACAAATAGCATTTTTTATAATTAGTCTAATTTTCAACTCTGTAAGACGATTCTAAACAACAATATTTAGTTTTTTGAAAGAACGATATAATTTGAATTAGAAATGAATCGCCTTTGCACTGTATCAGATTTTAGATTAATATTCTAATTATTTTCATATTATAAACAATCACAATTTCAGTTTAAAACTAGATTCATGTCCCATGCTACACGTCGTGTCACATAGTTTGTTTATATGTACTTGTTTGAAATATAATATCATTGTGTCTAAAAATGATATACAATTCAACTTACTATTATAATTACATCCGTCAATATAACTCTATTTAATAATTTGATTTTACAAATTGAACCTTTATCATATTACATTATGACATATTTCTCCATAAAAACAAATTGATAATTCCCCATCTTTTCTAGCAAGCTATTAGCAATGCCCCGTATTTTTAAATCAGTTGCATTATCAAATAAATTCTTATAAACTTGATATGTCGGAGCACACGAACAATGGATGTATAATGTGAACCCCAATATGTAGCTTCTGATCGAATTAAACTACTTTCTTGAAACTACTTTCTTGGTTCAATAATACCGTGTTTGTAAGTACACCCATTTCTAACATCTCTGTCATGTTTTCCTAATACTTTTATCTAAACTCGTCTTTACTTTTGCCATCTCACGATTAGAATTGGTTAGAAAATAATGAATGTATATAAATTTTCATTACATACTAGATCATATCAGAGAAAATTAGTTTCTAAGGTAGAAAAGACATCATCATTTCACAAGGAATCACAGAGACGGAGGAATTCCACATGTGTAATTGAACCATGAACTTATTATTAGCTAGTCATCTATTTTCTGCAAAAAAAAATCTATAACTTATACAGTGTAAATGAAAAATCCATCAAAAATTATGGGGAGTATTAAAATACTACCTCTGTCCCAAAATGATTAGCCAAATCCAAAGTTTTGACCAGTTATATATATTTATTGGAAATTATTTAGAATAAAAAAATTATATGAAAATGTTCTTTGTTAAAAGTAGTTTAACAAAAGTATCACTAGTAAAAAAATGGCTTATAGTGACATTTAATTAGTGTCACTAAACAATTTAGTGACACTCTGAAAGTGTCACAGAAAAGTGGGGCTAGTGACGCTAAATTTTGTGTCACCATTAACAAGTCACTTTGGTGTCACAAAATTATGACATATAAACATCGTAGAGATCTGTGATATATACGTAACAAGGATTTTTCTGATACTAATGCATCATGCTTTTTAGTGATATACCGACATCAACAAATATAATGATATTAATACACATTCAAAATTTGTGATGGTTTGGTGTCACTAGCCCCACTTTTCTGTGACACTTTTAGAGTGTCATTAAATCGTTTAGTGACACTAATTAAATGTCACTATAAGCCATTTTTTTACTAGTTTCTTGCATTCATGACAGATTAGTTTCATTACTTTATATGTTTGCATTCAAGCAATACACCAATTACCCAACTTTAAATACAAACACACTAATAAACATTACAATATAATAATAGTGTTTGGATTTCATCATTGTTAATTCTTCATGTTAGGTTACAACTTCCACAACAACATGGGCGTAGCCGCGCAGGCTTTCAGTTTCAAGCAAAAATGACGTCACAATTAACCGGGGCATTGCATAACGTAAAGTTTTACATTCCACAAAACATGAACCTACAAAAGTGTATACCCAACATAAAGTTCTCAATGAATTTCAGTCCAAAAGTGTTTCTTGCATTTTCCTTCACTCCAAAAGTACATGAACTCCAGACCATCATTCAATCAACCGCATCTGTAAACAAGAAGTACAAGTATAAGAAATTAATCCAGGTTCTGTAAAATGTTAACACAATGAACAAAATAAGTACAAAATGAAAAAAAACTTACTTTAGGACCAATTTTGTTGCATATGCTGCCCACTCCTCACACACTTGCAAGATGTCTTGTTCAGAGTAGTCCTTTATTGTTGAGAACTAAGAGTATAAAAATACAATGAGTACAAACATATACAAACTTCAATTAATGTTATCCCACAAAAATATATACAAACAGTCCACATTTAACTCACATTCTTTTTCAGGACGTTAACATCACAGACAATGTCACTCATGTACTTCATCAAGAAGTATCCACATTCCATAGAACCGGTTTGCTTAGGGCACTAGATATGTCAAGTACACATTAGTATCATTATACAACATAATGTAAACACGCCAAATACAATTTAGGGCAATGAGGAACATACCATGACTGTAACCTAATTCAGAGATAACCTCTTCTTTGAAACCGAGGCATGATGAATTTTCACTCCCCTGATATTCAAATACAAGTTAGATATGAGTACATTATTTTTTCTAAATTTCAGTATGACACTGTGATTAAGGGAGAAACAGGTTTATAAGACATTAGAAGTGCTGCAGAACGGGAAAATAAACATTGGTCAAACGTCCATGAAGATGTCATGTACGTATGTAGCTCTAGAAGACACATTGTTACCATATTTTGACAATAAAACAGGAATCAGTGAAGAGATAGGGAGAAACAGGTTTATAAGACTCTGGGGGGAAATGATCTTACGATTCAGTCTTTTAGTGTAAACTATACTCAATCCTGAATTCTATCAGCAAAAGTCTATACAACAACATTCAAACCTGTCCCAAAAAATTTGGGGTAGGCTAATATGAATCAATACATGATATCAGCTAAACTCTATTAACAAAACAAATAGTTTATTAAACTTGACAGGTCGACATAAACCATGTTCCAGTATGCGGTTCCGGTTCAGGTTCCTACATGCATTGTGATTAAGTACCACAATGTATGACACTCAAAGATAACTTAACTGGTTCACAATTAGTGACAGATCTTCTGATGGATTCTCTCCAATTGAGTCCAAATAGTACACTGTCCATGCCACAACATTAATGGCTACCAACGCCCAATGATTGCTACACGTTATATTATAAATTTAATCAATTGCTATAAAAAATTCCAGGTTGAAATAAAAGGATACAAATCAGTAGCAAAAAAAGATTTAGTGTAATACTTCTAACCATCGTAATTACCATGTATTATAAGGGATTAGTGTGATTTGTCCAGGCAAACCAACACCCAAAAGATCTGCTATATAGCGAGACCTCCTTGTAATGGACTCATCTGAGGGTTTCAATGGTACTGGTACTGCAGCAGACGTGCCAAATTGAACTGGCATATTACCTCCATCTTCAAGCATCTTCTCATATAAGTGCCTACACATTGAATGAAAAAAAATCGCATGAAGTTTATTCATATAGAGCTGAAAAACTATCAATGAAAAAAAAATTAACCAGTAATGATAATTTTCAGCATGGACAACTTAAATAAAATATAAATCAAACTTACCTACACCAGATTTCTACAACAGAATTGTTCACCTGCTCAAAGCTGATTACAAGGTCGCACACTTGCTTATTGAAAATAGATTTAGTTGCAAACCCGAATATTTCAGCATCATGTTCGACCAAGTACCCATCTCCTAGGCATTTGTCAACTAGCATAGAAAACATCTTCATGCTATTGCTTTTCTCTTTTCTTTTTTCGGCAGCAAACCTTGTAGTTCTTTGCATAATTAGTTTCCTTGCCGGTGGTTGCTTTGACTTCATCTTAGTCCTTCCATGTTCTTTAACAACTACAACACCTCCAGCTTCAACTTCAATCATCTTTGGAATGCTTTCTTCCTTGAGGTGAGGAGGTTCAACCTAAAATACATTTTAGAAGATGATTAAATAATCTTTTATTTCCACAGTTATGACACATAGTTTAATGTAAAAAAACATAATTTCGGATTATTATATTATAAAGAATATGCTTAAATAATACCTTTGTTTTAGTACCACCTAGTTCACTCGCAACCTGTTCTCGTGATGCTTCACTTATGCATGTGTTGTTAGCTGCCCTAACTACACTCTCCTCGGGAAGATTCTTCATTTGCATGAATCGCGGGGACCTTCTTGAAACTGCTGCAAGATGTTTTTTCTGGGGAGTCAACTTTTGTTCTTTTGGCACTTCAGTTGCCTTTATAACCAAAATTCAGAAGATTAATAGGTTAATAACTTCATAAACATAGACGCCATATATGCATACCGTTAATGCCTTATTAGGGAAAGCTATTGTAATTAATTTATCAACATCAGGATAATATTAGAGATACAAATATTGAAAAACACATTGGATTTATGTACCTTTCGCTTTCCTTTTGTATCTCCTTCTTCTTCACTCTCATTTGATTTGGGCTCCTTATTCTTGGAGCTGTCTGGGGGGGAGCTCCTGGGGACAGTAACACGAATAACTTGAACCTGAGTACAATGGCTTTTCGGCATCTTCAACTACATCCCTAAAATTCTTTGGGTGACTACCAAATTGTTCAAAAACATTACCTAACATGTCCTCAAGTTGGCTTTGATCATGAAGTGCTGACTGTGAGTGAAAAGAAAATGATGTTTTTTCAACCTCCCCGTGCCAATTCCAAACAAGGTACGTATTCAGAAACCCATATTTAAGCAAATGGACTTTAACTTTTTCAGGACTGTGAAAGTCCATGTTGCAACACGTGTTACAGGGACATCTAAGTGATCTACGGTTTTCGGAGTTAAGCATAGCAAAGTTTATGAAATCATTGACTCCATCTGTGTATTCTTCAGACAACCTATTGTCATTCTTTATCCATGATTTCTCCATTTGAATGTTACCTGATAATTGAGTTCCAATTTGTCACATTTAACTAATCATTTTTACAAAAAAAATAAAATACATCCTACATAGCGCTTTTTTGTTTTTTTATATTACTACTAATTTATAGACCACAAATATTATTCAAGTTAGTCTTGAGTGTTTTATTTTTACTATTTGAAGACCACATATGACTGTACTTCAAGGATTGAGCCTTGAGTACTTTACAAAAGTAGATGTGTTTTCCCAAGTGTACATACTAGACTGAATTTTAATTTGAGCACCAGAAAGGTTTAGTCATGCAATCATTTCGATCATATACAAACATACAGTCATGGTAATGAGTTAATCAATTCAAAAATTAACCAAATAATGTATTGAATTTTTAGCACCAGATAGACAATTTCAGAAACATACCTCTTGAGAAAGTTATAAGTTAGCTGAAACAAAATATTTGTAGACCGTGTGTGCTTGGACAGTCAATCCATAGATCCGCTCTTAAAAGAAGCCTTTGGAGATTCTGCAAATTAGGAAAACAACAATCTCAACCTTAACACCTGAAGTGCAAATTAGGAAAACTACATTAAAAAAGTAGTACTTTTATGTAAGCCATAAGAAGTGTTTGTGTTTATCTCATATACTTAGATGATTTCTTCTACAGATTATATGAAAAGAATTTAATAGCTAAATATCTTCAATATTGATAAAAAGTTACTGGTCTCTAGTGCATTTGTGTTACTAATAATGTTATGTGTTCAAAGATGGAGAATTATCAAACTAGTTTAAAAGCAAATTAGATTTCATTTTAAATCAAACTTGCAGACCTCTCTACCAATGAATTTTCCACTGAATTTAAAGAATCTTCATCAAACAAAAACTTTCAGTACTCTGTTGAATGATAAAGATGGTTCCTTAAGTTTGGTGAGATATTAATTGTCGTAAAACTAATAAAGTGAAACTGCAGTAGCTTTAGGATATAAGCAGTGAGCTTCTTTTCACATAATATAAGGTTAAAAGGAGTAAGTTCCATCCAAATATTAAAGAGCTTATCCACGATTTTGAGAAGAAACTGTCACTATGAAGGAAAACAGTTATAACATCCAAAAACAACCGGCTAATAATAAAAGAATCTACTATCGTATTAAACAGCAACTTAAATAGTAGAGTCTATGCGGGAGAAGAGCATAGACTCTCAGAAAGTGAAACCACAAATCACAAATCACTTAAGCAGTCGTTTTTATTTTCATTATCGTATTATAGACTCTCATTTTTTGAAGTACACATACTTCCCTCCCAAAACAAATATAGTCCTTGAAAATATGTCATCCCAGACTCACACATAGACTCTGCTAGTGCCGGGAATTGATGCTTCTCTATCATCTTAGCATTGTCTAATTCTGACCTTATCTTTAGAATCACAAATCATAGAAACTGAAACTGAAATCTTTAGACCTTATCTGCTAGACCATAATCCATCCAATAATAACAATAATAGAAACTGAAATCCATCCTGTAATCCATCCAATAATCTGAAGTCCTAACCCAACCCCAACACTCCCATATTCCTCTACAACACTTCAAACTCCCTGAAACATCCCAAACTCCCTCTCTACAGTTTTACAATCCCCCTCAAGCAAGCGTCCCAGATCCCCCAAACCAAAGCCCAAACCCCGAACCCAGGAAACACTGAAACTGTCACCCCCTCAAGCTTCCCAAATCCCCCACCATCAAACCTTATATCAACCTCACTGACCTAAACCCAGGTCATACTGAAACTAACTCACCCCCAGGCCTATCACATCCCCTACACCAAAACCAAAAACCAGATGGAGAAGAGCTACCTGACGATCGAGAGCCGTCGGTGGTGTTCTTCGCAGAAGATGGAGATTGACTGTGCCGATGATGTTCTTCCCAAGCTACCTGACGATCGAGAGCCGTCTGTGGTGTTCTTCGCAGCCTTCAGCAGCGACGATGGTATTTAGCAGAGAAGCGAATCTAATCGATCGACATCAGTGTATCTAGGGTTCTATGCTTATGTCGGGTTTCTTCGAAGAATGAATAGAGCAAGGAACTATAAGGTGGGTTTATTTGGACTTGTCACTTATTACTTTAATTAGTTTGGGAAAAAAAATAAGTCGATCGGAAATTTTTGCTAAGGAAAGAAAGTTTTGTTGTGGGGTTACTAAAAATAGATGGCGGGAAGTATATTTTTGGGAGGGAAACTAAAAGTAAATATTTGTTAAGGTTAAAACTCAATACTTTTTTATTTAGTGTCACTATTATTTGTTGATGTTTTTGTGTCATATATGTATGACACTTATGCGTTGTTAATACTATATGTCGTGTAATAGTGACACTTTATCAGAAAGTGTCACTAATGAAGTGTCACTATAAGACAGTTTTATACTAGTGTATAAAAATTATAACTTTCATAATATTATACTAATTAAAACCATGGTTCAAATTTTGAGATTTGGGTAATCATTTTGGGACGGAGGTAGTATCAAACAAACTTTTGAAACAATAAGGACAGGAGTTTTAATCCAAGTTTAAATAATTGGTGTTATTCATAATAACTTCAGTAATTATACTTAATTTGTCAGCATCTTATTTGTTCTACAGTTAAATAATTAGTTCTATCTATAAAATCTGAAATGATACATCAAATATTTTACAATAAACACTTCAGCAGTTCAGGGGCAACAAAAAGAAATTCATGTTATTATACATACATAAGATAGTCTTGATTAAAGGACATTTGTTGTCTCATTCAAGCAATCACCGTTATTATCTAAAATTAAAATTTTCAATCATTTCGGATTCGTAACTCGTGAAACTGTCACATATAATTGATCATGATTGAACACCCGTTTCTTCAATAATAAGTCGACTTGTGAAAGAGATAGTCTTGATTATTGTTTATGGTCATAACATACGCAATCATGATCGGAACTTGGAAGTTGGAAGTTATCTTCGCTAAAGCCAAAATCACATAAGATGGAGTTAAAAAATTGCTTGAAAAAATGTCTTAGATATTCCTAAGCAAAAAAACTAAAAAAACCATATGCCATGTAAATATTAGAAAAGCTTCTGAGTTCTGAATAACAATTTGTTGTACGAATCTCACAATTCGTAGTTCATACAAAAATTCTTAAAAGACTTAGAAAAATACCATCTAACTCACTTTATAGATCTATGATAAAAAAAACTTATTTTATAGATCTGACTTAATCATTTTATAAGTTATTTGATTGATCTTGAAACCCATTTTTACGCATCTGAATTTTTTAAATCTAAAAACCTTAAAAGCTACGTCGTACTCCCTCACTCCGTATTTTTTTGTTTGATACACTTTCTTTTTTGGGATGTAGTTCAAAAATTTGCTACACTTTCTATTTTTGGTAAGTTTTTCCTTTAAAAATACTCAACCACCCTTATTTTTTCTATTTTTTATCTTCTCTTTCATACTTTTCCACCATCTCTCCTACTTTTTCTACACTATTCATTACCCCTACTATTTGTCTATTTCACTCTTAAAAAATGTGGCAACACCTATTGTAGCATACAAAAAAATACGGAGGGAGTACCGGAGTACTTCGTATTTAAGAATAAAACCTTAAAAAAAACTAATAAGAATAAAAATATACTCCGCAGAAAACTAAAAAGAATCTAATCGATCTGAGATATAAAACTTAAAAACCCATTTAAATAAAAATTCATTGTTTCAATCTAAAATTCTACTCCGTAGAGTACTTTGTCAATTTAGAGTGGTCACTTCGAATTACTACTTTAAAAGCATTTTTTATTCTTAGGTTGTAACAACTTAGTATGATTCGGGCTGTGAACGTTGCTTTGAGTAGGGCTGGCAATATCACCCGCACCCGCAGATATCCGGTCAATCCGAACCGAAAATATGGATGAAAACCCGGAAAAGTATGGATGAAAAATGGATGACGAGTGGATCGAAAGACGGGATGGATCGGGTGTGGATGAAGGCTCATCCAACCCATCACCCAACCCGTCACCCGTTCCATCCACCCACCCGCTGACCCGCATATATGTATATAATATATAATATATATTATATCTATTTAATAATAATAATAATAATAATAATAATAATAATAATAATAATAATAATAATAGTTAATTGGTGAAACAAAGATAATTGGAGAGCTTTGTTTTGTGCCGATGCATAAATGCAGTTAAATAATGATGACAGTTAAATAGCAAAAATAGTTTTGTGCCGATGCATAAATGCAGAAATTAACATCTTGAAGAAGTTTTATGTCTATTTTGTTTAACATTCAGTTTTTTCTTTATCATCGACAGTGAATTAATGATTGTAATATATTTAATTGCTCATGTTTTTGTTGTTATTTTACAATGAATTCTTAATTTTTGGTTTTTAATTCTCATGATTTCTCTTTGTAATTTATTTATTTGGTCTCAAGTTTGACCATTTATATTTCACCCGCTACTCACCCGATCCACCCGATAACCCGTTCAAGATGGACGGGTTGGATGTGGATGTAATTTTTAATGGATGATGGACGGGTGGGTGGAGTATAAAAATTAACGGGTGGACGTGGATGAGCCTCCACCCGGTGAAAATCCGACCCGCTGCCACCCCTAGCTTTGAGAAACGTACGGATGTAAAAAAAAACCGACCTGCAGTGACCCGCCCTGGCCCGAGACATTTGGGGCGGGTCCGCCCCGCCCCGTCTTCCAAATGGGGCGGGTCCGCCCCGCCCCGCTTATACAATGGAGCGGTCCGGGTATTAGTATTGACCCGTGCCGCCCCGACCCGGCCCGACCCGCTCAATGCATAAGCATACATACTTTTTCTTAAATTATACTACAAATATACTTCAACATACATATGTGTGTATACAGTAAATCATAAATTCTTTGATCTAATAATATATTAATACATATATTAGAATGAGATGAACGACTAGTTATCAATGACTTCTTTATATATAGCATTTTAATACATATCTTCAATTATTAGTATAATTAAATAGATTAACTATTCAAGAATTTGATTTAATATATTAATTTTTTATTATTATTTAGAGATAAATTTTATGTAGATTCAATTGGTAACAACTTCCTACAAATAAAAATACATACTAGCTAATTAGGTTACGGCGGGGCAGGGCGGGTCATGGGTCAACAAGTTTAGACCCGTGCAGGTCACGGGGCGGGGCGGACCCGCCCCGCCAAGTCACGGGGCGGGTCTGGGTCTTGCAGTACCCGCCCCGTCCCGACCCATTGTCATGCCTAGAGAAACGTAAAGCTACAAAACATTAAATGTGTCGAGGATATTTGAGAAATGAAGAGCTTCCATTTACTGACCACACCGTATTAAATGTGTATGTGAGAAATATTCTTTCCAAAATATTCTGTGGGAAGCTGTACAAATGGAGTAGATTGTACAGGAAGAATTGACCATGTAGTTTTGGCGGGAACTTGTGTCCCAAGAAATCTTTTGTTATTATATATGGATAGAGATAGATATCACATACCCATGGTCAAAAAATTTAACCGTGTTACGGTTTAAATGACACTCGCGCACACTAAGGGTGGACTCGGGCCGGTTCGGGCCCGGGCCGGGCCTAGGCCCGGTCGGGCCTCCGGTTCAGGAATGGGGGGCCCGGAACCAGCCCGGGTAACCCCCGGTTCCGGGCCGGGCCTTAGCTATATTTTTTTTCTTTTCCTAGTTAACCTCCAACCCCCACCCCCACCCCAAACCACCCCAAATGGCCCAAAATACCCAGCCCAACCCGAAAAGTAAAAAAATTTTAAAAAAAATTAAAAGGGCCCGGAACCGGGCCTGAACCGACCTGGCCCAAACCGACCGGGCCGGTTCATGATTTGGGGGGCCCGAGCCCGGACCGGATCCCCAACGGGTCGGGCCTAGCCGGACCGGAACAGTGCCGGTTCAGGCCGGTTCCGGGTTGGGCCACCTGGCCCGAGTCCACCCCTAGCGCGCACACACATATATTTGACACACACATAATAGAAATGACATTTTTATAAGGCATTAGTTAGATCATGAAAATATGACTTCATGACATTATGACTTGATTACGATATTATGGTAATATGGTATCATCGGATAATTCATGATCTTATTTTTTCACTTTCAGCATATTTTAATCCTACTTATGCCATTTTCTCTCTTTTCTTGAAAAACTAACAGGTGTTTTTTCAAAAGTATCGGATCATCGACTAGTGGTGGACCCGGTTCGGGCTGCCCGGCCCGGGACCGGCCCGGCCCGTCACTGTACGGGCCCGGAACCGGCCCGATTCTCGGGTCCGGGTCCGGTTCGGGCACCAAACCGGTGGGAGAAGCGGGTCCGGGCTCGGGTTCTGTTTTTGGTGGCCCAGCCCGGCCGGGTCGGGCCCGGCCCCGGGCCTAACGGTCATTTTTTTTAAAAAAAAATTATTTTAATTTTAAAAAATACATTTTGGCTCAACAGCCACTTCCCAAACGGCTATATAGCCGTTGGGGGGGTACCAGGGGGGTCCGGGGCGTTTGGGGTGGGGGGTTAAAAAAAACCTATAAATACTCCTAATTTTAAACATTTTTTCACACCTCTTCTCCAACTCTCCCTAAATCCCACTCTCTACTCATCTCCAATTCTCCATATTCATCTTCTCAAATTCTCTTATTCTCCTTTATATTTTATTTTACTATTTAATACTTATGCAATTATTATATCTACTTATATATTAATTATCTACTTATAAATACATATACTATATTACTTATATTTCTTATCTACTTAATCTCTACTTATATTTCTTAATACATACATACTACATCTAATTAATATATACTTTATCTACTTTTATATATACTTTATAATGTCTATTTTATATATACTTATTTTCTTATTTTCCAATCTCCAATTCTCCATTATACTCTAATATTTAATTCTTATACAATTATTATATCCACTTAATACATACATTCTACATCTACTTAATATATACTTTATATATTAAAGTATAAAATATAAGTGTATTACTCATCTTATAGTAGTATACTTATATATTATCTTTATCTTTACAAAATTATAAGCACCAATCATGATAAGCCTATTTTAGGTATAAGAAATTTGTTGGTGTAACATTGGTGCTTTGTCGATGTGTACATGGAGCTTAAATAATTGTACTGGCTTCCCTCATTTCCCCATTACCAAACGTCTTCCGTTAACAGTCTCCTTCTCTCCTAACTGCCCCTTCTCTCCCTTTTTATTCCATCGCATTCAACCCGGATTGGCTACGACTTTGTTTAGGCCTTGAGACCTCACTCCGTTCCGCTCATGCGCCGACGCTAATCTTCTTGGCCTGATGGCTGATAGAGCTCTCATGCCTATTTCTACCTTCCTGAGTTGTTGACTGATGGATCTCTCATGTCTACTCTAGGAGCAATCGCCAGATTGAATGATCCGGTGAGTTTTTCTTCTTCTTTCACTCCACTTTATTCAACACATTAATTTCATTTGTGTTAAATTTACCATTTAATTTTGTTTAGATTTCATTTTGACATTTGCCGAAGAACGCTTCTCGATTCAGAAACGGGCGGCACGGGTATTTTCTTCTATCCCTTATTCTTCACTGTGTAAGAGCAATGGTTTTTCAATTCTTTGAATTTAATAGTTTGATTTCAGTGAATACGATTACTCTGCAGTTATCTTCATCTTTAAGTTTCCAACTTCCACTTGTGACTATTTAAAAATCACTGAAAACCATGATTTAAGGTTAATGACTTATTGTATTTAACCTGAAAACCTTGATTTAACCTCAAAAAAATATACATGTTCTTTTCTTAACAAAATATGCACTAATTGTAACTATTTTAAAAAATGCCTCCTGAGAAAATTTCTCAATATACACTTATTTTTTTTAGGAGAAAAAAATATAGATTGAAAATCATTTTATTTCCTTGAGATTGTTACATGTTTCTCCAGTAATTATTTCTATTTGTTTGCATTCAGATATCAATCCTGATTGTGTGTGAATATTGCATCTTGATTTATTTATCATTGATTCTATATTTTAAGTTAAGTATAAGTATATGCAAATAAGAATATATAATATACATTAGTAATTCTTTACTAAATTTATTAAAAACTAATGCTTTATTAAAATATTATGAAAAGGCTGAGACATACTTTCTCGATGACCATTTTCTAAAAAGGTTCATTTTAGTTGAGCTGGACATTGGAAAGGACATAAGGGTTCGCAACTAAGGGCTATTATCTACTCCTATTCTTGCGTGCAACACAAGTGATGGAAATCCAAGAGGTGCTCTCACCTTCAATTGTTCCCCTTGTGCCCTTAGAGATATATATTGTTCGGTCAACAAACTTTCTTTGGGGCTACTGACCAGTCTTCTTCAGTAGTGCTTAGCCAAGTTTACAGATTTATTTGAAAATGAAAAGCTAAATGAAGGGCAGGATAGCATTAATTTATTAAAATGAAAAGCTAGACAACCAGTTAGGTAGTTTGATTGTTAGGTTCTTTGGTTGAATCCCAATTAAGTACATGTAGACATATCTTCTTCTTTTGTTTTTTTATTATTTAAAAATGATTTCTTACTGTAGTTCTCCAAATTACTTTAGTCTTTTACTATGGCAATGATGTATTTCAAAAATGTACATCTATTTGAAAGCATATTCCTTGGATGTTTGTAGTTGTAGTTTATTACGTGAAGGTACTTTGTAATCGATTCTGCTTCTACACCGATGCATTGGGTAGAACAGAGGCAATAAAGTTTTTTTATGTCAATGGCGATGCTTGAGTTGAATTTTACTCTTCTTATCTCTTTACTGCAAGACTGTTTATCACTTTATTGTAATTAATTATATGTTCAATTTTTTTATGCATATGCAACATTTGGGCAGCAAGTGATCCAAATATGGAGGTATTAGTACTTGCCATTTCTTGGTATGTGGAATTAGATATCACGCCTATTATGTATTTTGCGCTCTATATTGCAGACCCCACCCGAAGTATGAATTTTTTTGTCCTTTTAATCATTTGGTGGTTGTCATTTATGAGTGCTAGAGGTGTGTTTTTATGTAGTCTTTCAATTCACACCTTAAAAATGTGAATAATTATGATGTCGTACTTATGCTTGCAACCTGCATGCACATAGGGGGGCCATCTGCGGACTGTGTCTATCAATCCAAGCAAATTGATGATCCAGAACATCAACTTTATTGAGTGGCGGATTAGGAGTAAAAAACAAACACAAATAGGCTTTGAGAAACCTTTCGGGCAGAAAATATAGGCATATATAAGCTTAAATGTAGCTGACTGTTTGAGGTATCTTTGAGCCTAATTATGTCCTTAAGGGATGCAAATAGAACTCTAAGTTTGAAAGTAGTAATATTATTTCAGATGACAGCTCAATGCTACCTGAAAAGAGTGACGAAGTCGGTAGTCCTATTATGAACTCAACTAGATGTTTTACCCTTCTAGGCTTTTTATACGCAAAATTGTGATACCACTAGAGCTTCATATTTTACTTCTTCAACCTCTTTATATAGATGTTTGAACTTCTTACTCTTAGCTTATTCTAAACTTATCTGAACCATTCCCCATTATATACGGACTGCTTGTCATTTTCACAATTTTGCTTGCATCAAAGTTAATACAAATAATGGATTATAGTTGGTCATCAATATCAAGTTACAATTCCTGGAATATAGAAAAGGAAGAATTAGCTCTATTAGAAAGAGGAATTTGTAGAATGAAATAGATGAACAACTAACATCTAAATGAATGGAAAATTAAATCTAAACTTTGATGTCATTTGTATATAAACATTTATTGCTATACGTATGTTACTTAGTGAACTGTTTGAGGCATGTCATTATATGATTTAATCCGAATTGTTTGTCTTACGAGTAAATTATCCTTTAATGTTATAGAAAGTGGTAATTCTATTAGTCAATTTATTTGAATTTATATAAACTTCGGATCAATATGATAGTCTAAATGTTGGTTTTATTCTCTTTAGTGGAAAAGCTTACTATATTTGTCTCTTTATTTTCAGTTTTCCCTATGCTATGACCAATAATAACCTGTTAAGATTCTTTGTGAAATAAAAAGGTTCCACTTTTCATGTTTTTGAAGCATACAAAATTACAAATGGCATGACTTAACTAATTTTGTGGACATATTTGGCTCTAACTCATTTTCATGGGCATATAAAATGTCAAATATGAATATGAATATGAATGACATTTGTGCCTCAAGAGTAATGTCACCAACCGATTTTGTGACTCGCCATTAAGTTTATCTTTACAAAATTATAATCATGAATCAAGGTTAGGCTATTTTGGGTATAAATAATTTGTTGGTGTCCACAGCTTTGTATAGTTGTACTGAATGGTTGAGTTCTTATACTGAGATGTTTCCTTCATTTATCCATCAAGAGGTATGTATTCCTCCCGTCTAGCTCCGTTAACATGACCTTCCCCTCGCCCGGCCTCTGCGATTTCCTCTTCGTTCCAACGCACCAAACCGAGCAGCCTGGCTGCTAGATTAGGCATTGAGGGTCGCATTTGTCCCGCCTCGCGTGAAGCCCGGTGCGCCGCCGCCTAGGTTACTCTCAACTGTGTTGTTTCCCTTCGTCACCTCCCTGCACTCTTAGTTATTTATTTTTTTCTTTAAAGAGTAAATGATGTTTCCACTGCAATTGAAGTTCAATAACAGTCCTCCGCTCTTTCTGAGTCCTATAAAGCACAAGTTATTGAATCTGAAAAAGCTCTCTCAGCTTCAATGCCCCCCATGTGTCCTTTATAGATATGCTTCCACACTTGGCTAAGCTGTTCTTTCACTCCTCGCCAGAGTTTGATCTCTAGGTAAGCCATTTACCCCTACCATCTATTTGGTGCATGCCTTTCTTGTGTTTACTGTCTTACTGAAAATTGTTGTTGATAATGTTTGTGAATATAAGTATTCTTCTTGTTTTAAGACATAATAAAGGTGATATATGAAATTAGGTAAGAACAAGTCACTTCCATCTCCCTGTATGATATTATTAGCTAATAGAGGCGAAATTGCATGAAGAATTATTAGAACTGCCAAAAGATTCGGGATTCGAACTATCTCCATCTACAGCGATGCCGATAAGTATAATCTGCATGTGAAATCCGCCGACGAGGCCGTACGCATTGGCCCTCCGCCGGCGCGTCTGAGCTACTTGAATGCTTCATCCATTATTGAAGCTGCAGCTCGTACTGGATCTCAGATAGTAAACTAACTTTCTTATCCCGGTTTTTTTTTTACTAATAGTAGTACTTTGGTGCAATGCGGCTCCTTTTTACACGCCACATGTTCGCTTCTGGTTTCTTTGAATGTTTGTTTGGCCATTGGCATGTACTGAATTGCATAGAAGGTGCTTAATTATTTCTTGAGTACAAGGGAATAAATCCAAAACTGGTTTAGATAATAATAATAATAATAATAGTAGTAATGAAAACTTTTGAGGCTATGGTTTCTCATTGGAAAGTGCTGATTTTGCTCAACTGTGTGAAGATGAAGGCTTGAATCTTTTATCATAACAGATTCTAGGTTTTAATGTTAACTTGTAGAGGCAGAAATCTATGTTTTCAATATGGAAGATTTGATTACTTGAAGCTGAATTAAAATACGTCAAAACAGTTCCCCTAGATTTTCCTCGCACTACATTTTGCACTGAAGTTAGGTTGGGGCTTAAAGGTCCAACTGAAGTTATTCTAGCTCCAACACTCTGTAAAAGGGTAGTTAGCTTATACATGCATTCAATAGCCTTAAAATATACAAGAATATGGTGTTATAAATAGATGCGAATTCATTTAATCAATAGCAAAGCTGTAAATCTGTAATATGCTAGGAATTTTATACAGGTGCATACATTGGTAGAAGATTGACAGAAATGCATAAGCTTGCTGATAAATTGCTTTTCGAATCATTGCTTTCATATATAAACATGCAGCTTATGCATGAAAGCAATGATTCGAAAAGCAATTTATCAGCAAGCTTATGTTTGTATGTGGGTCTAAAAGAATGCTCACCATCCAGTACTCCAGTGTGCCAGAAGAGTTGATCGTTGAGTAGCGTGTATAAATCGAGGAAGATGAAGTGAACGTCTAAGAGCCTTGGCACTGAGCTACCTACTACCTAGCTGTGAGGATGGGGTGAGAGCACGACCGCACAAGTGGAGAGGCACATGAAAGTATGATTTTATCTCTAACATGTATAGGTTGATTGTACTCAATTTAGGATCAGGATACGGTAAGACCTGAATATTTATGTTTATGAAATAGAGGCATCTGTGAAATAGAGGTATTTGGATGAGTTTTGCCCCCAATTATACATTTATACATGTTGCTGCATCAAGAAGAATTATGGCAGATGATATGTAGAGAAAATATATATAGCCTCTTTTCGTAAGTTGAACCCTTTTTTACTTATTTGTTTCTTAAAGGTTTCGCCAAATAGACTTCTATTTCTAAGAAACATATATTTTGTGAAAATATTTTTGAAACAAATCATATTGGGCATTTGTTTGATCGCGCAGCGCGCGTATTAAAACTAGTATACTATAAACATTATATTATATATTACTTACTATAACTAGTATTGTACTAGTTAATTAGTTAATTAGCATTCTTGTTACATTTATCATTATAATAGTTAATTAGTTCATTACCATTATTGTTACATTTTTCATTATACTAGTTAATTAGTTTATTAGCATTGTTGTTACATTTGTCATTATACTAGTTAATTAGTTAATTAGCATTGTTGTTACATTTTTCATTGTACTAGTTATTTACTTCATTAGTATTCTCATTAATTGTTAAAACAACTCTACTTCAATAAACTAGTTAATTGTCATTATAGTTAAAGTCACATTTTCTTATTTTCAATTTATATTTGTAGGAAGAAATAGTAGTTCAATCATTTAATTAAAGTACTTAACATTTTATTTAAGTAGTTTTTACTAAATTAAAGTACTTCAAAAGTTGGTATAATTTTAATTTTAAAGTCACACATTAATTCTACTTTGCACTAAATTAGTTTGAAGTATTAATTAAAATAGTTTTAATTAGTTGAATTAGTTTTGTATCCATTATTATATTGGTTGTCAATTAATATTTGTTACATTTTTAAGATGGAAGGTGGTAGATATTCAGTTGATTTGGGTAACCTCCAACGCAATCGAAGGAACGAGATTGGGAGGAAGAAATCCCGGAAAGGTAAAGAACTTGCCGGTTCTTCATCTCAAAGCCGAGATGATTTTGAAACGGGTTACCAAAGGCGAGATGGAGATGCGATGTCCGAAGAACAACTCCAACAAGAATTGGCCCGACATAATAACCGCTTTCTACAACAACAACAAATGCCGACGACCATTGACGAAGAGGAGCTTGAGGATGAAGATGCGGAGGAATTGGAACCGGAGACGGCCGAGGAGGAGGGTGCCGGCAGCCACGACGCCGACGAGCCTGCCTCATCCCAAACCGCCACCGGTAATAAAAAAAGTAAGTCTGAACTAATGAAAAATAATTTTGATAAATGGAAGGACCCACAAACCGACTATTGGCACGCAACTTGCAAGTGGTGCAACAACAATTATAGTTTGGGAACCTCCGGCGGATACGGATCCGTCGCAAGGCATCTTAAGGCAAAGCACCCCGTGGAGTATGCAAAATTAGGCGGCGGAACGGGGAAGCAAACTCAAATATCGAGGTTTGCGGATTCTCAACCTTTTGGTAATTTCTCCTACAATGATGCACAAAATTTGACTGGTATGGCTAACTTAATTTGTGAAGAAAATTTGCCTTATTTGTTTTCTGAAAGTCTTGTTTTAAGAGATTATGCACAAGGTAGTTTAAATCCTCAATTTAGAAATTATAGTCGCAAAACTGTTAAGAAAGAAATAATAAGGCTTTATAATGCGGAAAAGGCAAGGTTACAAAATTTTTTTGCAAGCTTTGATGGGCGTGTTACTATTTGTTCTGACATATGGGAGGATGATTTTCATCATTTATATTATTTGGGTCTGACTGCACATTATATTGATGAGGATTGGAATATGCATAAACGTGTTCTTGCTTTTTGTGAATTTAATGATCGTCACACCGCTGAACATATTTATATTTTGATTGAGCGTATTTTAATTGAGTATAATTTGATTGATAAGGTGTTTGCTATTGGTTTCGATAATGCTACTAATAATACTGCTGCTATACCTAGATTGCGTGAGTTGTGTGGTGCCAATACTTTGATGGGTAGATTTTTTCATCAACGGTGTGCATGCCATGTTATAAATTTATGTGTGCAAGACGGTTTAAAAGCGTTAGGAGATTCCATGGAGGTAATCAAGGGGGGGATTAGACGTATTTGGGGTAATGGTCAACTTAGATTAAAATGGCAAACTTATTTGACTGAAAGAGGTGTGAGATATGTTGCTTTTCCTAAAGATTTGAGTATTCGTTGGAATAGTACTTATAAATTATTTAAAGTTGTTCTTAGATATAAAGAACATTTTCCTGCTTTTTTAAAAGAACATGATAACTATATTATTAACGCGGCTGAGATCGACACTTGCGAAAAAATTTTTAATGTTTTGATATATTTTTTTAATGCTACTCAAACTTTTAGTCATGTTTATAAACCTACCGCAAATCAATTTATTCCACAAGCTGTTAATCTCGCCGATGCTTTTAAAGAATTTCAAAATGCCGTTTTCGTTCATTATTTTTGTGATTCTATGAAGGAAAAGTTTTTAAAATATTATGCGCATATTCCCCATATTTATGGTATTGCATTTATTCTCGATCCTCGTTATAGACTTGCTAATTTGGAAGATTGTTTCAACTTCTATTATCTTGCGTTTTTTGGTGAATTTCCAATGTATGACGATAACCCCATAGATCCGAAAACGGAATACAACGAGGTTAGTACTTTATTTTATGCCTTATTTAATGAGTTTCGTGCACAATATAGCAACGCCCCCCCCTCCCCCGTCACGAACATCTTCATCTAAAGGAAAATCGATTTTTAAAGGGAAAACTATCAAATAAGCCCCCGTACTATGTTGAAAAAGTCGATTAGGCCCTCGTACTTTACAAACACTCAATTAAGTCCTCGAACTATTTAAAAACGTTCAATTAAGCCCTTTTGGTCGGTAAGTAATCGGTTTCCCGGTTAAACGGCGACGATGTGCTCGAACTCCAGCAACGGCGGCTGCCGGGAAACGGATTACATTTAACCGGGAAACCGGTTACTTACCGACCAAAAGGGCTTAATTGAACGTTTTTTAATAGTTCGAGGACTTAATTGAGTGTTTGTAAAGTACGAGGGTCTAATTGACTTTTCGGTATAGTACGGGGGCTTATTTGATAGTTTTCCCATTTTTAAATCTGCATTTGGCAATCTTATGAAAAAATAAAAATAACTCACGTCACTGAACAAAGTGCATTGAATGAGATTACTTTGTATTTAACATATGAAGTTGATTTTGAAGAAAATGATGACTTTGACGTTCTAGACTGGTGGAAGTCAAAAGAAAGAACGTTCCCGATTTTAGCACGATGGCTAAGCAAGTACTATCAATGCCGATTTCAACAGTTGCTGTGGAACAAGAATTTAGTTCGGCCGGCAACGTCCTAACGGCATCTAGATCGAGATTGAGCGCGGAGTCTCTTGAGACGCTTATATGCTACCACGATTGGTTGAAGGCCGCACGTAGAACTCAAGAAATGAGCATCACCCCCTCCCAAGATTTTATGGATGACTCAACTACCGATGGTGGCTCTACCTGTGCCGGAGATTCCGATTGATTAGTATTTTAGAATTTATTATAAAATGTATTTTATAGCACTTGTCAAATTTATTTATACTTGTACTTCATATTTCAAAATTGTAAATTTGTAGTTGTACTTCAAATTAATTTGTAAACTTGTACTTCATATTTCAAATAAATATGTGTTCACTTTTTCATATGTAGCACTTCTCAAATTAATTAATTGGTTACAACTAACGACTTAAAATTATTTTTCTAAAATATAAAGCCGGTTTTTAAATTAAAAGTACATTTACAATATGTAATTTGTTTAAATACTTATGCACCTATTTTGTAACATTTGTAAATTATAAATCAAACCACTTTTCTAAGTACAAATAGTTTTAGTTTTACTTAATTCATTAAATTAATTAATTTATTTTACAATATGTATAACTTAAAAAAAAAAATTGAAATCAAACCTCCCAAACGGCTATATAGCCGTTGGGGCTATGGGTGGGGGGCAGGGGGGTCCCGGGGGTGGTGGTGTGGGGAGTGAGGTTCAAAAACATCTATAAATACATCTATTTTCTAACATTTTTCTACACCTCTTCTCCAATTCTTCTCCAACTCTTCTTCATCTTCATCTTCTCTTATTATCCTACATTCCTACTTATACATATACCATTTTAAATATGGAAAGTACATCTTCCCTTATGCAAAATAATTTTGACAAGTGGAAGGACCTGAAGACCGGACTGTGGTGGGCAACTTGCAGGTGGTGCAAGAAAGAGTGTTGCTTGGGGCGTTCATACGGATACGGGATGCCAATAAAACATATGAAGTCCTGTGACAAAGGGAAAACAACAACCAACGGTGGCGGAAATCTGAATTGATATTCATTAGAAAATGTATTTCGTATTGTTATTTTTTTCTCAATTCTCAAATGTAGTTCTTATTTCAAATAAATGCACTTGAACTTTGTTTTTAATAGGAATTTGTATAATATATAACTAATAAAAAAAAATACTTGCCCGGCCCGGCCCGGCGGGTGGCCCGACCCGTGACCCGGGCAGGTGGCCCGGCCCGAACCAGAACCGGCCATTGCCCGGGCCGGTCCCGGGCCTACCATTACAAGACCCGCGGCCCGACCGGGCCTTGACCCGGCCCGGGCCCGACCCGGGTCCATCACTATCATCGACAGAAGTCTCTTTAAATTCAAAAAATGATCTTTACCTTGAATACTGGCATTGGCCAAAGTGAAACAGATATCCACCATAAAAGATTAACAAATCTCACTACTACGCATCTCCAAGAAAAACAGTCACAAGAAAACGAGTAGAGGGCTAAACCATGGCATTACATTATATTAATTTGAGAGCTAGACAAAATGATTTAACGATTGACAACAAAAAAAGGTTAGAAAACAAAAAGAGAGGAGAAGGCATATACTGCTTGGAAATGCAATAAATTCCATTGTGGCTAATTTATTCCTAGCTCTTCTGCACTGCAAGTGCTGGCAAGAGAGCTCCCCATCCTTATCTATGTGATGCAAAATCTAATAAAACATGTTATGTGCAGCAACATCAAGTTGTTGTTAGGGAGAGGATAGTATGAGCCCTCACACAGTGTCAGCACACCTTTTCGGCATCCATCTGAGAATGAATGGCCTTGTAGCAATTGAGGCTGCACAGAGGGAGCTTTGACTTGGAGTCACGGTACTTGTATGGGTTCAAACATGAAGGACCAGCACACTTTTCACGAGGAGGTGGATAACTGAAATTTTGAAACAAACCCAAAAAAAAAAGTATTTAATTTTCTTCCTTTTTTATTATAATTGGGCATTGTATACACAATTACAGAAAAAAATTTGTACTTGCTCCACTTTTCATTTTTGACAACTACAATCATATCAGAAGACATAAATATCCTTTTTTTTTCACACCTCTCCTACTTGTTTCACGTTTACTACTATTCACTACATCTGCAATTTTACACAAGATTCCGTAAACCCTATTGGTGCAACTACATGTGAACGGAGGTAGTAATTTTTTTACCTGCAGGGTTTGGATCCGAATAAAGGGGGTAAACCCATCTCCATTGGAAATGTCACTATTGTCCCTGTAGGCTTCATGACGATTCTGACGGTTTCTGATGCAAGCACTTGATGCTTAGCAGCCTTCTCCTATAAAGGTATAGGTGGATAGATCAATTTAAATGGGAGTGGTAATGAATGAATGCTTGATAGCATCTATCATGAATATGACCTCTAAATGCACACTTGCATACCTGGGCCAACTCTTCTTGGCGCTTCTTCACTTTGTCCTCTTTCTTCTTTCTATTTGAGTCTTGACCAAGTATTTTTCTAATCGCCTCAGCCTGTTTTATCAATATGATAGACATGGCTTACTTCATTAATAAAATTCTCAACACATGAGAGTGGCAGTAGGTTAAACAAGCAAACAGGCAAAGGGACAACCTCTGATTCTCGAGCTGCCTTCTCATTTTGCATTCTACGCCTATGTGCAGCTTCAGTTTTCTTTAGTTGCTGCTCCACCTCAGTGAGTTTCTCTTTTTGTTCTGTAACAGTGCAAATAATCAGCAGAAACAAGGCATCTAGAGCTCAATTGGCATACCTCTTTTCAAGTTTATCATCTACATTTTCTTCAAACACTAAATTTACTACACTGGCTGCAATGGAGCCAAAGACTCACTATTTTTTGGCTTGAAAATATGATGGAATAAAGCAAAATGGCTCATTAAACTGTCTGCACTTCTTTGTTATGAAGCTGCAATCAGTCCATGCAATTTCGGACGCGAATTTCACTATGGATCATCCAGAAACAGTCTCTCTTTGCTTTAGTACAGGGGTAAGACTGCGTACATCCAACCCCCTTACCCCACCGTAGGTGGGAGCCTTTGCGGCACTGGGGTAATGATGATGTATGTATGTACTAAATTTACTACACTGGCTGGATGAGCTGAATAGCGGTCATGAAAAAAGTAGTGGGAGTTACACTTTTGTCTAAAATTAAAGAGAATGACATTCCTAGCTTCATTTTTTTAATATTATTTAAGAAGTATTCCCCCCACTCTTTATTAGTTACAACTTTTGTACTTATGCACCATTCACTAACCATACTTCAACCTTTTTTGCTAACGCATAAAAACAAATCCTATTAAGTAAATGCTGTTAAATTTTTAGTCTATAGCGAAATGTTTGGTGTTACTTAGGGTTATTTTACCTACTGTAAATACAAATTAAAGCCATTTAGCCGAAGTTTCATAGAATCCAGCCAGCTTGCAAGTTGCAAGCTTTTATTTTTCTTCTTTAAAAGTCATCCAAGCAAGCACAGTTATAAGGAAATAAATAAAAAACAGCACACTTACTTCGAGATGGGGGTGGAGGCAACCCATTAGGGAACTCAACCTGACTCACACCAGCAGATGGCTCCTTGCCTGAGAGAAGAGCACGCTGGCGTGTTGTAAGAGCTATTTCCCTCTTAGATTCTGTTTGCATGTTAGGTGGGGAATCCCTTCTCTGTTTTTGTTTCTTTTTTGCTTCACGCTCCCCATCAGACAACAACACTTCTTCCTCCGCTTCATAGTCAGTGTCTTCAGAACTTTTATCAAATGATCTCTTCTTACAATCTTTGGTTGATCCTCCAATCTCTTCAACACTTTTAGAAACCCTAGAGAGACTCCGATGTTTGTTGGCAGGTTCCTCTTCAAAATCCCTAACCCCAAAAACTTTTGATGTTTTCAGCTTTTCCAGATACCGGATCTCATCATCTTCTTCTTCGTCTTCGTCAAATGCCCCATCTAAAACACGCCTCTTTGGAACCCGTTTGCTCTTTCTCACAGAATCTGAATCTTTAGCAGTGTTTTTGGTTGACGTCTTCCTATTACCCTCCCTGTTAGAATCAATAACCCCCCTAGACACATCTTTCGTTGGGTAATGGGTTTTCTTATCTGAAAAAGAATTACCCTCTCCTGAATTGTCCTGTGATTGAAAGCAAAAGTTCAGATGAACTGATTACAATGCGGTAGCTATATGGACGACTAACAAGGCAAAAAATGTCTAATGTGGTCTAATAATTTAAACTAAATTCAAAAACTCCAGTCTATATGAGAAACATTTAACTTCTCATGAATCTGTCTTCTAGTTTGTGAAAAGAGTCCCATAAAATCCAACAATCTAAAAGATAAAGAATCGCATATTTGCCTCATTTAAATAAGTGAAAGATTATTATCCTCTAATAATAAAGATTCAAAGTTAAATTTTATTTCCTCTGCCATGAAAGCTGAAGGAGACTTGATACAATTCCATCACGATATGCAATTAAACTATCTTCGCCTCCATTCAACCACATAAAGTGTATTAAAAAATGACATAATCTGAAATCATTTTGATAACGAATCACTTGATGAAAAGGATAATTATGTGTGTACATGTGTGTATACCTGAATGGTAAGTTTCTGACGTGGACGAAAGGTATCAGAAGGTCGAGAACCCTTCGAGGAAGATCCATCACCAGAAGTACCATGGGGATTGTCTTTGGCTTGAATAGTACGTGTTACCCCACCGACCTTCAACTTAACCTTCTTAAGCTTATTGTCGCTTCCTATACCGTTTTGAGTTGTTCCCAATTGTCTGGTAGGATTCAGTTCGTGATGGGCATCATCTCCTACTCCACCATTGCTGTAGGACACTCTAGATCCCTGATCATCCTTAATCTTCTTATTTGGATGGTCACTTTCAGCTATAGTAGTAGGAGAGCCCCTTGATATACACTGGTTAAGGCTGAACATCTTACCTCCAGAACTAACATCAGTTTCCTCACTGGAGACCCTAAAAGCATCATTTGAAGTTGGTGTTAATGGGTCATAACTTTCTAGAAACAGCTGTATCTCAGGCCTAGGTCGACGAGGAATGCTGCTTCTCCTCTTCCTTGTTATTATACTACTAGAAGCAGGAGCTTCAATTAGAGTGCCACCAGATTCATCCATGATGTCTAACCAAAAAAATTAACAGTTAAATGATGCGATCGCCCAATTAAAGCTCGTTATAAGAAAAAAATGTACTAGTAACAG